GGGGGTCCGCGGTCGAGTGCTACGGAGGGGGGGGGTCGCAGTGGTGACCGGCCGGCTGCGGCCTGTTCACCTCAGAATCCCCTGGAAAACGAAGCTTGCTGGAGTCTCTCCAGGATGAACCCTCGCGGACACGAAAACGACGTCCTTGCCCTCGAACTCGAAAGGGCGGCACCTCGAAGGGGAGGCGTGCTCCGGAAACAAGTGGGGGTCTATCTGGGGCTCGCGCTCATTCTGGGAGGGGGTGGGGGAGGAAAAGCGCAGTGTCACCATCACAGCAGAGCGTGTTGTGCACGTTGCCGAAGTTATGGAGGGGGAAGAAAAGGACCTGAGATATTCAGCGTTGTTGGTTTGAGGTCTTCACCCATCAATTGAACGCCCACCTACTGGTTGGTCTATGTCTACAGCCACGTGTGACAAAAAATGGATGCAAGATCGAACCAGCCACCCACCCAACAGACACACACGCAGCAGCCCACGACGAAGCGGAGCTCCCTTAATCTCTGCATATCAGTACACGTCGCATTCTATCTCTGTGTCTCACTTCTCTCTCTCTCTCTCTCTCTCTCTCTCTCTCTCTATCTCTCTCTACCAGTACGAAACACCTGATTGTTGGAAAGTACCCATCATAAAAGTCGCGCCGTTTTCGCATGCTGCGCACATTCTTGATCGCGAATGTAGTAGCTAGGAATGTGATTCACATGCCTCGACGGCACGTAAGGTAGTCACCTTACGTGTCATGGCACGACCCATCAACAACACAGCTAGCGGGGTAATTTCGGAGCGAAATGGAGAGGAACGAGCGGGAGGCTGAGCTCAGACTAGCAGCTCGGGGTCGCGAGCTACCGCCCAACACCACCAGGACCCTACCCACCAAAATGCCGTTGCAGTCCGTGACCGTGAGGAGATCGACCCGCCTCCCCTCGGGGGTCCGAATGAGCAGCTCCCGGTGGAAGTAGCCGGTCGGGCCTGGTCGCGGCGTTGTCAAGGGTTGTACCGCCATCCCGTCTCGTCTAGCCTGAAAGGACACGGGGCGCCAACGACGATCGTTTACGTGGACATGCAAGGACAGAGGCTCACAGCATGGCGGGGAGGCTAACTGAAGAGGCGAATCGGACCGGAATCCGATCAGCAACCGTGTTGTTGATGTTGTCGTCTTCACATAAAAAGACGTTCCCAGCTCTGCTCAACAACTTCTAATATAATATCCGTACTGGTCCAACTGAAGCGGACGCCTTCCGTGGTCACAGGTCAACTACCGGGGGGGGAAAGGCGGGATCAATCGAGCCTCGGCGGTCGCAGTTGACTTCAAGACACGCTTGGTCCACGGTTAGTAAGCATGATCACACTCGACTTTTCAAAGCGAGAACAGAACACATTGCGACATGCCTGGACTTCGCAGCACTCGATGTCTTGGTTGCAGTCATCATAGCTGTAGGGGAAACAAAAGGCAAACAGCACCTCCTCCGAGCCTCTGGTAAAGCGGAACTGAAATTGGAGCTGCAAGTGCCTGCCCTCTTCCTGAGAGCGCAAGGACAGAGGGAGAGAAAGTCGGCACGGGGAAAGGGAGACGATGAACGGTCGGTTCGTGCGTAAACGTGAGTTCGGCTTCGGCTCTGCCTTCCATCCTGGTAGCGAGGAGAGCACAAGACACGGCATCAGGGCGCTCGAGTTGCCCTTACTTGCAGCTTCAAGTGGACGGCCGAGCGGGGTACAATCTACCGATCAGCACCTAGCGACGCTTGTCTGCTCGCTCGTTCGAGGGTGACTTGTCTAGCACCGTGAGAAGGTACCCAATTAGGCCATATTTGAATACCCTCAACTCCGTGTGAGCTGAGGTCCCAATATGGCGAGGTGGTATATGCCTACCACCGGAGGCAGGCCAGTTTCCTCTGTTGAGATGTGACGAGGAATGTCAAGCGGTGCCCGAGCGTGCTCGGTCAAGGCTAGGGTAAGGTTGCGAGTGGGCGTTGGCCGAGACCCTTCTTGGCTCTCGGTACCAACCATAAAGATCCACCCCGACTCCTGTCGGAGCAAAGAACCCACAGAATAAAGATCCAGAGTAGAGCGATGAATTATCGTCTGTCGAAGGTTCTTTACTCCCTTCGTATGTGTGTGTAAGTATAAGAAGATACGAATATCCTGGCTTCCACACATGTATGTTGCCTATGAGCCTATCGCTCTAACGTTTCCTGGAACTTTGTCTACCCGAAAGAGATAAGTGTCTTTGTTTGTTTTCGCAGAGAGGAATAGCAGAAACAAAAAGCGGACGCCGTTCACCTCGAAGATAGCTTTCTGCTTGAGGCGAGCCCAGTTTGGGTTTCCCGACATGCGGAAAACCGGCGTCATCCCATGCTTGTAGAGAGCGTTCTGGTTGTTCAAGTTCATTATTCTCTGTGCGTGCAGGATGGTGGTGAATGTAGGATGGAACGGGAGGGAAAATCAGAACAAGCCGTTGTTCGGCTGTCGAGGGATCGGGGAATGTATCATGCGTGCTCAGCCCTCTAAATTACGGGTTGGTGAGACTTGGAACCCGTGAAGCAGGTGCATGGCGGTTCGGCAATGTCCGGTATGGGGCAGACACCAACACGCAGGGTAGATCAGCGGTACAGCAGCAGCGCCTCGAATCGAAGTTCCGCTTCAATATGGATTCTCACGCCTGCTGCTGTCACAACTCAACATGTGTGTATCCTTCTGATACCGCGGTTCGAGACACAATACCAATGTAGCCTCTACCGACAATCACAAGGGCCATTGTTCTTGCTTGCAAGCTACAGGCACAGTTAAAGTTATACGTTTCCACAGGCGTACCATGGTGATTATCTGATTCGCTGAACCACCGGCCACTCCATAGTAGAACCAGCTCGAGTTACGCCTGGCGTTAGGCCCCCCCTCGCAATCCCTGTGTCTCACGAAGCAAAACATACCACGGAGTTAGTGGTTGGTACCAAGGCGTGCGGACAGACGGAGCAGTGAAATGCGCCCACGTAGCACGGGGGCAACAACACCGATGTCCCCGACTTCGGCGCGCTAAAATCTGAAAGCCCTTGGCAACATAGTAACAAATATAAACTATAACCCGGTGGTCAGACCGTTCTGCCTTGCCCCTGGATCGCGAACACATGTGCATCTAACTCAGTCACGAAAGGGTTCGTGAGACAATCGATGCGCTTCCAAATGCGAGAGAGCGACTGCTACAAGATGGCTGGGCTATTGAACCTTGTGATGGGCCTTCGCGCACAACACTGGAAAGTCCAGATTGTTTTAGACCATGCCGTGACGGACACCCTGTATTCTATGGTGCATCACGCCTACGGCATACGGGCCGCGGCCCTCTCTCACTCCTCCTACCACAATCACGAACAACACTAAAAAATCACAGCATGAGTTATTGCTCGATCGTATCGGTTCTGTCTGACCTGTCTCGCACGCGAGGCCGACGTTTATGTGTTGACGGATGTAGTGTATACACGTCATTGGTCTATTCTTTGTTGGGATCTTCGGCATCGCTGCTGCTGACAAGCGAGCAAGATCGTAGTGCGTATGACGCTTTGCTCTGATGGTTGGTATACCGGCAATACTGGTGTGTGTGCTACCGTGCGCTTACTCACTTAGACAAGCCCTCGACCTATGCGCACACGAAACCATCGGATCTTCTCTTCAGCACACAGGGAGCTCGTGGCGCCAAAGTTTGATGCTGCACCCCCCTTACGTGTGTCTAACTACCCTTTAAATGACCAAATGGCCAGTCCTGGTAA